CCTAAGGTTACACACACACACCCCGTCCACTACTCCACACCTTGCCCCTCAGGAATGCCGCCGACTCCTACAGCGATATCATCTACTTGCCTCTCTGTGGGTGGCACCCACACCTCCATCCCCAGCTGTGCGCCGCACCCTGCAAGTTGCCTCAGATTTCCTGACCGCAACTCAAAGCCACCACTTCCCAAATTAATCTCATCAAACCTGGCCCTACTCCTTACTCCCTGATTTCAATTAACAGTCTCACCATCACCCAGGACCAATGCTTAAAATCCCGATTCCCAGGCTTCCCTGGTGGTGCAGTGGTTAAGAATCCACCTGCCGATGCAGGGCACACGGGTTCGAGCCCTGGTCCAGGAAGATCCCACATGCCGCGGAGCAACTAAGCCCGTGCGCCACAGCTACTGAACCTGCGCTCTAGAGCCCGTGAGCCACAACTACTGAAGCCCGCGCGCCTAGAGCCCGTGCTCTGCAACAAAAGAAGCCACTGCAATGAGAAGCCCGCGCACGGCAACAAAGAGTAGCCCCTGCTCGCCGCAACTGGAGAAAGCCCACGCACAGCAACGAAGACCCAACACAGCCAAAAATAAATAAAATAAATTAATTAAGAAAAAAAAGCTTAAAAAAAAATCCCGATTCCCACTGCAGTGGCCTACAGAGCCCACCAGTTGCCAAGAATTATTTTTTGTGCCACAGCTCTGTGCTTAGATTATGAGCCCTTGCCTTCCCCTTGACTTTTTTTTACTCATCACAAGATACTAGAGAGTGCAACAGGAACACAGTAAATACTTCCTGAACTGAAAAGAGACAGTGCAGAGTCACAAGGATCTCTCATAGCCCGCTAGTGGGAGCATAAGTTGGTGCAAACATTCTGGAAGGAGATTTGACAAGATCTAGCAAAGCTGGAAAAGATCATACCCTACAACTCAGAATTTCGCTCCTCTGGGTACATGCCCTGGAGAAATGTTTCCCTGTGTCCACAAGAAGGCTTGTACCAGAATGTTCATAAGAGCACCGTTACCAAGAGTGGAAAACAGAAATAACTGAATGTCCATCATATCAGGATCCCAGCAGGAAATAGCTGGCATACTCAAATCAGGATAACTAAAGGAGCGTTTAATTACTTGGGATGAGTTGAGTATCGAAAAACACCAAAGGACAGTTCAGTAGTCCAACACAGAAAAGCAGAACTACATCTGAAAAGAGTTCCAGCAGAAAGCCTACCTTGAAAGCAGCAGTGAATTTCAGGTAAGGAATACAGTCAGGTTGAGGCAACCCCACAGGGACTAAACCAGGGGAATAAACACACTGACAATTGTTTTCCCCACCCTCTAATCTCCAGTCAGGACTTCCCACCAGCTGAACCCAACAGCAGGCCAGAGGGCAAGGTGCCCCTGGATGAAGCCCAAAGATGTCAACCTCCTGGGGCATGGCGGAGCAGGGAGAGAGTGGATATGGAGAAGCAAGAAGATCCTCGGCATATCCAGCAACAGAATGTATCAATATATGCTGATACAACGGCTACTGCCCAGCAGGAAAATGAGCAGACTAGAGCTACTTAGACCAATATGGATAAATCCCCAAAACCTCACATTGGTTTGAAACTGAGTGGGACCCTGTGGCGCCCGCCAGGGCACAAAAGCCCTTCCACGTCTCCCATTTCTTGTTTGCAGAAAAAGGCTTCAGTATCCTAAACCTTCCCTGAGTTCCAAAGGGCAGATTCAAGGGGTTACTAATTAGGGAAGTGAGGAAATGCAGAAACAAAGGAAAAGCAGTCAACAAACAATAGTTCAGCTATAACAGAGTCTCAGTTCCTAACTGGACAGATACATGTAAAAGAATGAAGTTAGAACACTCCCTAACACCACACAAAATAAACTCAAAATGGATTAAAGACCTAAATGTAAGGCCAGACACTATCAAACTCTTAGAGGAAAATATAGGCAGAACACTCTATGACATAAATCACAGCAAGATCCTTTTTGATCTACCTCCTAGAGAAATGGAAATTAAAACAAAAATAAACAAATGGGACCTAATGAAACTTAAAAGCTTTGCACAGCAAAGGAAACCATAAACAAGACAAAAATACAGCCCTCAGAATGGGAGAAAATATTTGCAAATGAAGCAACTGACAAAGGATTAATCTCCAAAATTTATAAGCGGCTCATGCAGCTCAATAGCAAAAAAACAAACAACCCAATCCAAAAATGGGCAGAAGACATAAATAGACATTTCTCCAAAGAAGATATACAGATTGCCAACAAACACATGAAAGGATGCTCAACATCACTAATCATTAGAGAAATGCAAATCAAAACTACTGAGGTATCACCTCACACCAGTCAGAACAGCCATCGCCAAAAAATCTACAAACGATAAATGCTGGAGAGGGTGTGGAGAAAAGGGAACCCACATGCACTGTTGGTGGGGATGTAAATTGATACAGCCACTATGGAGAACAGGACGGAGGTTCCTTAAAAAACTAAAAATAGAACTACCATACGACCCAGCAATCCCACTACTGGGCATATAACCTGAGAAAACCATAATTCAGAAAGAGTCATGTACCACAATGTTCATTGCAGCTCTATTTACAATAGCCAGGACGTGGAAGCAACCTAAGTGTCCATCGACAGATAAATGGATAAAGAAGATGTGGCACATATATACAATGGAATATTACTCAGCCATGAAAAGAAACGAAATTGAGTTATTTGTAGTGAGGTGGATAGACCGAGAGATTGTCATACAGAGTGAAGTAAGTCAGAAAGAGAAAAACAAATACCGTATGCTAACACATATATATATTGAATCTTAAAAAAAAAATTGGTTCTGAAGAACCTAGGGGCAGGACAGGAATAAAGACGCAGAAGTAGAGAACGGACGTAGAGAATGGACGTGAGGACGTGGGGAGGGGGAAGGGTAAACTGGGAAGAAGTGAGAGTGTGGCATTAACATATATACACTACCAAATGTAAAATAGATAGCTAGTGGGAGGCAGCCGCATAGCACAGGGAGATCAGCTCAGTGCTTTGTGACCACCTAGAGGGGTGGGATAGGGAGGGTGGGAGGGAGACGCAAGAGGGAGGAGATATGGGGATATATGTATATGTATAGCTGACTCACTTTGTTATAAAGCAGAAACTAACACACCACTGTAAAGCAATTATACTCCAATAAAGATGTTTTTTTTAAAAAAAAGAGTCTTAATTCCTTAGTCTTATAGTTCCCTCAAGAGATGTGCCTAACAATCTGATACAGTCTTCAAGTTCTGCAGGCCCCCACCCAGGTGAGGGATGGTAAGTACCTGCTGAGACCCCAGACTGGTCAGAACCAGAAGGCTGATGCTTGAGATTCCTGGACCACCATCCTGTTACCTCACCAGCAACCAATCAGAAGAAAGTCATTCACCCTGCAGCTGTCACCCCAAATGTTGCCTTTTAAAACTCTTCCCTGCTTCTCCATTGGGGATTTCCCTGGCGGTCCAGTGGTTAGGACCCTGTGCTTTCACTGTCGGGGCCCGGGTTCAATCCCCGGTTCGGGAACTAAGATCCCACGGGCCACGTAGCATGGCAAAAACAAAAACCTCTTCCCTGAAAACTACAGGGAGAGCTCGGGTCTTTTGAGTACAAGTTACCTGTTCTCCTAGCTTGGCCCTGCAATAAACCTTTCTCTGCTCCAAACTCTGATATTTTGTTTGTTTGGCCTCACTGTGCATGGGGCACACAAGCTTGGGTTTGAAAACAGGTTGAAAAAGGCATATTAAAATATTTAGAGAATGGTCACCACAACAGACTATTTTCTAAAATCCACCTCTGCTAGATTTCTGGCCTTACATGCTCTTCCAGAACCTTGCCACCCCCCACCAACAGCTGCAAAGAAAGAAAAGAATAAGGCTTTCGGACAGGAGTTACAGGAGAAACCCACTTTAGTAAGGGTAGCCAGGGAAAATCTGTCTGAGAAAGTGACTGAACTTTAAATAAAGTGTGAAGGTTCAGAAAGTGCTATTAGCTAGGCGAGCAAAGAGCAAGCACAAAAGCCCTACGGAAATAAAGGACTTGGACCTTTAAAATTGGAGTTAAGAAAACCAGTGAAGCAGGAGAACTGGGCAAGGGGAAGAATGGTGAGCATGAAGCAAGAAAGGTGAGTACAAGTCAGATCACGCAGCCTGTCTGGGGTGACTGCCCCGGGGTGACAAAAACTGGAATTTGACCACGCAGCAAAAGACGCAGGGAGGACCAATAAAACGGGCAACAATGGTCCCTTTTATAGCTCTAGGGCTAACATTCACTTAGCACCTAGCCTATCAGGCACTTGGATACAGAAATCCTTTTAATCTGCTAACCCTCCCCTATGCGGTAAGTATTAACAAACCCATTTTCACAGCGAGGCAGATTATCTAAATCCAAAATCCAAGCACTTAACCTCACACGGCTCTTCTGCCTCCCGTCTCCAGTTGTGATGGGCACTGCTAACATTTTGGTGGATGACTCATATTATAGAAGGTAACCATGATTATGGAGTATAAACTACATCGTGGTGAATGGCCATAATAAAAATAACCGCATCTCACGTGCACCCAGCGCTTATCCTGTGCCACACACAACCTCGCTGCGATTATTCCCCTTTTACAGATGAGGAAACTGAGACCAATACTCGCTGAGCAACGTGTCCAAGGCAGGGCTTGGAAACCAAGTCCAACTGCAGAGCCCACGCTATTAACTATGCTTTGCTGCCTCACTCTATCTTCTCTCAGGGAACCTTGGTCAAGGCCAGCGAGACTCCACGACCGTACCCCTTGCCCAGACACTCTTCTTTCAAAAGCGCCCCTGGAAGCCCCAAGTGCGGGCGGTGCGGCCTCTATTGCGGTCCCCAGCCCCCGGGTGCAGCCCCCGCTGGGGTCCGGCTGGAGGCGCACATCCCGACCGAACGTTCCCGCCGAAGGTTCCGCAGCCCTGAAACCATCACCTTCCCAGGCGAAGGGCAGGCAGTACCTGAGGAAAACGCGTCCAGGGTCCTGCCCCGAGCTCTGCGGAAAACACCTCCCGCCTCCGCAGCCGACATGGCAAGTTTTCCGCCTCGAAGGAGTCCACTGCGTAGGAGGGAGCGGCGCCACTCCTAACCGCCCAACTGCCGCTTGGGGCCTGCCCGGCTGGGGGCTGCGCCCTCTGCTCGGGGCGGGACGGGGCCGGCGGGCGCGCGGGGCTCGGTCGCTCGGGGCGCCACTAGTGCTGCCTGAACGGGCGGAAGCGTGAGGGGCCCCTCTAGGATCGACTGGGGCTCCTGGCGAGGGAGCCAACTTGCCTGGCGCCTGCGTGAGCAGAGTGAGCGTCTTTGGACTCAAGGTTTGGGGGGGGGGGGGCAGCCATTCCCTAAAAGTGGGGTCTGCAGGTTTAACAAATAAGAATACAGGACGCTTAGTTAAATTGGAATTTCAGATAAGCAATAAATGATAAGTATGTGCTATGCAATTTGGGAGATGCTTGTCTAAATTTTTTGTGGCTTATCTGAAATAATTTAAGTGGGGACCTGTATTTTATCTGGGAATCGTACCTTACGGTCCAAAGGACCCGGCCCTGTCCTTGGAGCACTCGACAGGACAGTCCTCCGAGCCACCAGGTGTGATCTCTGTCACAGTTCTGAGGCATATTCAGTTCCCTAGTCATCATCACCATCATTCCATTTCAAACCAAGTCCCCCTAAAACTGAGCTCCCTTACTGAATTATGATTAATCTCACTATGCCAAATTTTATTCTCTTTCTTGTCTGGCCCCTGTTCCCCTCAGGATTGAGGACTGTCAAAGAAAAGGGGAGATGGAAACCAAGCAAGACACTGTAGGGCCTTACCGGGTACAAAAGCCCCACTGTGTCCCCTGTTGCTTTTTTTTTTTTAACATTTTTTTAAATTGTATTATTTCTTTATTTATTTGGCTGCGTTGGGCTTCTCATTGCAGTGGCTTCTCTTGTTGCGGAGCACGGGCTCTAGGCGTGCGGGCTTCAGTAGTTGTGGCTCGCGAGCTCTAGAGCTCAGGCTTACTCAGTAGTTGTGGCACACGAGCTTTGTTGCTCCGCGGCATGTGGGATCTTCCTGGACCAGGCCTTGAACCTGTGTCCCCTGCATTGGCAGGCGGATTCTTAACCACTGTGCCACCAGGGAAGCCCTCCCCTGTTTCTTGTTTGTAGAAAAAAAGGCTTTAGACTCCTATGCCTTTCCTGAGTTCCAAAGAGCAGGCTCAAGCAGTTGATGATTAAGACAATAGAGTCACAGAACTCCTAGTTCCTTCTGGAAGGATATAGATAACAATCTGATGGATTGCAAGACCCCCCACCCAGGTGGAGGGTGGTAACTACAAGCTGACCACAAGCCTCGACTCCAAACTGGTTGGAACCAGAAGGTTGAAATTCCAGAAACATCACCCCGTTACCTCCTCACCAACCAATCAGAAGAAAGTCCACGAGCTGATCACACATCCTACGACCCTCTCCCCTAACACTGTCTTTAAAATCCCTTGCCTGAAAACCATTGGCTAGTTCAGGTCTTCTGGGTATGAGTTCCTTGGTTGGCGCCCTGCAAATAAACCCTGACTTTGCTGCAAACACCTGATGTCAGAGTGTGGCTTTCTGTGCCACGGGCACAGGAGCCCCTGCTTGGTGCCACGGTACTGTCATCATTGCTCCCTAAGCATCAGGCATTGCTCTGAGCACTTTGCACCAGCTCACTTAATCCACTTCACAGCCTTAGAAGACGGTACTACCATTAGCTTCATTTATCAGAAGGGGAAACTGATGCCCAGAGGGGTGAGATTGTGTGCACAAGGTGACACACATCCAGTAAAGTAGTGAAGCAGCCACCCACCCAAACTGGAATCTGTCCAGCAAAAAGCCATTGAACTAAACTACTAAGCCAGCGTTTGTCAAACTTGCTAAAAATACAAAATCCAGGGTGGACCTACTGAGTCTGAATCTCCAGGAGAAGCTTCTGTTTCTAACTCCTCAGGGAGTTCTTACGACATGCCAAGTGTGGGAAATTCTCTTAACTAGCTGCCTGCATCTGAAGCATTGTTTGGGTGGCTAACATGACCGGGAGAACTGTCCTCTAATCTTAGATAAGAGGCAGTAAATCATAGCGGTTAAGAATATAAGTGCCTAGGAGTTCTGGAGTCAAACTGCTACCACTTGCTTGTTGTATGATCTTGAAAATTACTTAGTTTCTCCATGCCTCAATTTCCCTATCTGTCAAACAAAAACAATGGTAGTATCTTGGTCATAGAGTTGCTGGGAGGCTTAAATGAGTTGGTGCATCAAAGTGCTTAAAACAAAAATGGTACAGATGAACTTACTTGCATAGCAGAAATAGAGTCACAGATGTAGAACACCGACTTATGTTTTCACCCCAAGGTGGGGGGCGGGTGAGATGTATTGGGAGATTGGGATTGACATATATACACTACTATATATAAAAGACAACTAATGAGAGCCTACTGTATAGCACAGGGAACTCTATTCAATGCTCTGTGGTGACCTAAATGGGAAGGAAATCTAAAGAAGAGTGGATATATGTATATGTATAACTGATTCACTTTGCTGTACAGCAGAAACTAACACAACATTGTAAAGCAACTCTACTCCAATAAATTAAAAAAAAATAAGTGTACTAGAATGAAAAAGTGCTTAAAACAATAGTTCTAATAGCAAATGGTAAGTACTCAATGAATATTGGCCATTATTATTATCATCATTATTAATCACTGTATCCCTACTCACTGCCCATGGCCTGGTCCAGCAGGAAATTCTCAGGAAATGTTCAAGGAAGGAATGAGTAAGTGAGGATCAAAAGTCCTCATGTTGGCCTCTAGGCCCTGCGAGATCCAGCCTGCCTCTCACCCACTAACTTTGCAGTCACTGTCTTCCTTAAACATGTTCCTTAAACATGAAAATCCATTCCCCTCTTTGCCTTTTCGGTTCCTTCTATTGACAGTGTATCTGCTCATTTGAATATCAAGGCCTCTGCTTAACTCATACGTCCACGGAGAGACCTGACCCTACACACTTGCACACGTTCTTCAGAGCTAAACTAGGTCTTCCTCATTCTTTCTGTAGCACTCGGCTCATGACCATCGTAGCCCTTTGCACAGCTGGTTATCATATGTTTACAGATGTAACGATTGGTTTCATGTTGTCTCTCCCAGTTCAAATGTAAGGTTTGTGAGGGCAGTTACTTTGACTGTCTTGCCCATCAAGCAGGGGGCTTAGCGCATAGACACAGATGGCTGTTGCATGAGAAATAAATGGATGATGACTATCTTGGCAAGATAACCCTGTTTTGAACCTGGGCAGTGATGGTGAGTAACGTCAGAGCTGCATGGGTGCCACTTCCTGGTAGTTATGGCCGCAAGTACACTTTGTCCGCCACTGGGACCAGCAAACTCTGAGCCTCATTGCCTGCCACATCCTCCCCGATCACTGTGCAGCTCAGTGTTTCCACTCTCCCCAACCGTGCTCTTTCAGCCCATACACTCTTATTTTCAGCTGTCTGCCTGGAAGGTAAGAGGGGGCAGACAAGCACCATAAGAACGGCATATTCCTGAGCAGCAGGCTGACCTGTTCAGTCCACTTCTCAGCTGTGTGACCTTCGGCATGTCACTTAATCTTTCTGAGCTTCTGATTCTTCATCTAAAAGGAGTTTCCTGGCGGTCCAGTGGTTAGGACTCGGCAATTTCACCATGGATGTGGCCCGGATTCAATCCCTGGTTGTGGATCTAAGATCCCACAAGCCATTGCTGTGGCCAAATAAAATAAAATAAAATAAAATAATATAAATAAATACATAGAGATAATCACAGCACCAACCTCATATGGTTTTTTGGGGTTTTCTTTAACATCTTTATTGGAGTATAATGGCTTTACAGTGGTGTTAGTTTCTGCTTTATAACAAACTGAATCAGCTATACATATACATATATCCCCATATCTCCTCCCTCTTGCGTCTCCCTCTCACCCTCCCTATCCCACCCCTCTAGGTGGTCACAAAGCACCGAGCTGATCTCCCTGTGCTATGCGGCGGCTTCCCACTAGCTATCTGTTTTACATTTGGTAGTGTATATGTCTATGCCACTCTCTCACTTCGTCCCAGCTTACCTCATATGGGTTTTGTGAGGAGTAAATGATCCTCTAGGCAGTTTCTGGAGCATACTAAGCGCTTGATACATTTTTGCTGTGCTTGATACATTTTTGCTGTCATTGATACTGTTAATATCGTTGTTGGAATACACTTCAACTCATTTTTTTCTAGTCAAAATTCTACTCTTTCAAGATTCTTTTAGGGAATTCCCTAGTGGTCCAGTGGTTAGGGCTCAGCACTCTCACTGCCAGGGCCCCGGGTTCGGTCCCTGGTCGGGGAACTAAGATCCTGCAAGCCGTATAGCACAGCCAAAAAAAAAAAAAATTCTTTTAATCAACTATACTTCAAGAAAAAATTTAGGGACTTCCCTTGTGGTGCAGTGGTTAATAATCCATCTGGCAATGCAGGGGACACGGGTTCGAGCCCTGGTCCGAGAAGATCCCACATGCCACGGAGCAACCAAGCCCGTGCGCCACAACTACTGAAGCCCACGTGCCTAGAGCCCATGCTCCGCAACAAGAGAAGCCACCGCAATGAGAAGCCTGCGCACCGCAATGAAGAGTAGCCCCCGCTCACCGCAACTAGAGAAAGCCTGCGCACAGCAATGAAGACCCAACGCAGCCAAAGATAAATAAATAAATTTATTTTTTTTAAAAAAGATTCTATTCAGGTGTCACCTCTTACATCAGCCAGGTATCATTTCATTGCAAATAACAAAATCAGTTCAAATTGGTTTGATCAGAAAAAGGAATTCATTGGCATACATAAATGAAAACTCTGCTATGTGTGGCCAACACGGTGGAGTAGGAAGACCGAGCTCACCTCCTCCCACAGGTACACCAAAATTACAACTATTTACACAGCAACCAGAAGACTCAAAGAAAAAGATCCTCTACGACTAAAGATATAAAGACGGAACCACAACGAGATGGGTAGGAAGGGTGGAGTTGTGCTATAGTCCAGACCTTCCACCCTCGAGTAGGCAAACCACAAGTGGGAGGATAATCACAATTGCAGAGATTCTCCCCAAGGAGCGAGGAGTCTTAGCTCCACATCAGGTTCCT